AAGAAAAGTATGTGAATCAGTATACAATAAGCAACAAATAATGTTTCACAGTAGTATGCTACAGCGATATCACATGACAAACACTGATTCAGCACAGCTGTTGAGGTTGTTACCTTACAAATAAATGTGCTAACTATTCTTTTTACAAAGGTTTGTTAATAAGGGTTCATACTTGTAAACAACTGATTTTACTCCGTATGCCACTGATACTTCAGGTGACTGTGCGTCTTTTGTAGTGCTGTTTATACCAACTAGACATTGGTGGGTGGAGTAAATATCCTCTGCCAACAAATTGGGATATTTGCACTTAGAGTAAATAGACACTCCATTTCTTTTTAAAGATTGAAGTCTGTTTACATAATTGAAATATTATTTTCATTTATATATTATATGTTTATAAATATTATTTTACTGCAATATTATTATTATTTAATACCTTTGCATTATTTAATATATTTGCGGATTCTGGGAAATATAGTAGATCATCTGGGTATTCCATGTGTACAGAAAGTTTGCATACTATGCACAGTATACAGTACATACTGGATACAGCAGAAATATTATGAGTATTATGAAAGTATGAAATTTCAAACACAGCACCAGTTTCCCAGTGTGTGCCTGTTAGTCTCTAATTAAGGTCAGCTGTTGTTCATTCAGTTTGCTTGTTTACCCTTGTGTATTTAAACCCTGATTTCCGTCTCTTCATTGTTCTGTGTCATTGATGCTAATGTGGTTGTTGCTACTTTGGTTACCCCTGTGTGCTCAGAACCTTGCTGGAAATAAACTGTTTGTTTCTTCTAATGTCCTGCGTTGTGTGCTTTCTGCAGAAACCTACTCCGACAGTCATGCTATAATCTGATATTTTTATACAAATGTTATACCTGAGACCAGGCCATGAATCTCCACTCTTAAACTTCAATGGCGGCTCCATAGACTGGTCACTCTTCATAGACACACAGCTGTGCTCTGCTTCTGATTTCTTCTGATGAACTGAGCTAAAACAGAACAACATTAAAGATCATCCTTTAAATGACTGTATGCAACAGATCAACTATACATTTATCATGATCAATTTCACTTTAAAGAGCACTTTATAATATTTGTATACACTGTGTTTATACAAAAGAATTGTGAACTGAAATGCAATAAAATATATGATAATACATACGATATACTGATATACACTATTAACTGGTAGAAATTTGTCAACCGGTAGAGATCTTGGACTATCGTCTTTATTGAAACACAAACAACAGCGCTATATGCACGTGCTGTCTGTTTCTGAGCGCAGTCTGAGAGGCACAAGAATCCGCTGCTCAGAGAATTAGTGTTGCTTTATTGGCCTTGAACAGTTAAATACACATACTTATATGTGTCAAAATGCCCGTCTTTACACAGTGAAGACTATACAGTGCTTTTGATTCATTTATACACTTTATGTAGCATTTCTTATATTTATTCTAGTTTTTTTTGTTCTGTTGCTTGCAATTAGTTTCTTATTCTTATTTCATCACTGACTGTTTACTTATCTTCAGTGAGATTGTATTAGTTTTTTGTGTGATATTGACACTGGTGACAAAAATTATGAAAATTCTATGTTATCAAAAGTTTTTATATCATAAACATATTATTAAAAGCAAAAATAACAATTGTGATATATATTTTTATTTCACAATAACAATATATATCACAATTTTTATTTTTGCTTTTAATAATATGTTTATGATATAAACATTTTTGATAACATAGAATTTTCATAATTTTTGTCACCAGTGTCAAAATCACACAAAAAACTAATACAATCTCACTGAAGATAAGTAAACAGTCAGTGATGAAATAAGAATAAGAAACTAATTGAAAAGCAACAGGACAAAAAAATTAGAATAAATATAAGAAATGCTACATAAAGTGTATAAATTAATCAAAAGCACTGTATAGTCTTCACTGTGTAAAGACGGGCATTTTGACACATATAAGTATGTGTATTTAACTGTTCAAGGCCAATAAAGCAACACTAATTCTCTGAGCAGCGGATTCTTGTGCCTCTCAGACTGCGCTCAGAAACAGACAGCGCGTGCGTATAGCGCTGTTGTTTGTGTTTCTTCTCTGAGCGATTCTTGTGCCTCTCAGACTGCGCTCAGAAACAGACAGCGCGTGCATATAGCGCTGTTGTTTGTTTCAATAAAGACGATAGTCCAAAATCTCTACCGGTTGACAAATTTCTATCAGTTAATAGTGTATATCAGTATATCGTATGTATTATCATATGTTGATTTGTTGCATACAGTCATTTAAAGGATGATCTTTAATGTTGTTCTGTTTTAGTTCAGTTCATCAGAAGAGATCAGAAGCAGAGTCCAGCTGTGTGTCTATGAAGAGTGACGGGTCTACAGTTAGGCGAGTACATTTCAAGAATAGAGATACACGGTGTGGTCTCAGGTATTTAGATATGATCTGAACACATGATACAAAATACACAAGACATTGTGCTTATTAACTTTTTATTTTACAGGCATGAAGCCCTCAACACGTTTAGATCAAATCTGCTGAAGAAGTTTGCATGTCTGAATGAGGGAACAGCGACGCAGAGAAACCCAACACTGCTGAATGAGATCTACACAGAGCTCTACATCACAGAGAGTGAGAGAGGAGAGATCAGTAATGAGCATGAGGTGAGACAGATTGAGACACAATCCAGGAGAGCAGCAACAGAGGACACAGCCATCAAATGCAGTGACATCTTTAGAGCTTTACCTGGACAAGACAAAGCCATCAGAACTGTGCTGACAAAGGGAGTCGCTGGCATTGGAAAAACAGTCTCTGTGCAGAAGTTCATCCTGGACTGGGCTGAAGGGAAAGAGAATCAGGACGTCCAGCTCATATTTCCACTTCCTTTCAGAGAAATCAACCTGATGAAGGACAAAACACTCAGTCTTTCAGATCTTCTTCATGTCTTTTTCCCTGAAACTAAAGAAATGGAAATATCCAGTGA